TCTTAATGCATAAATATCTTTTTAGCCACCAAAGCAAAAGATTTCTGATCCCCATGAATTGGCTGATTATCAACATAGAAAGCGTAAAGCTTTTGAAGATAATATACGAAAAAATCGCATGGTTATTTCAAATTGGATAAAATATGCTCAATGGGAAGAGAGTCAGAAACAAATACAAAGAGCACGGTATGAAATATAAGTAATTTAAATTTATTTTAATATTTAAAATCATACAATTTGATATATATTTATGATGTATATTTTGATAAAACCAAAATTTTATTTATCTCAAATTTTCAAAAGCTTGATAAATAATATTATTTTAAGTAATTTTCCACGTTTTGAAAGAAACTTTCAAATTTCAGGTCTATATATGAACGTGCCTTAGACGTCGATCATAGAAATATTACATTATGGCTTAAATATACAGAGATGGAAATGCGAAATCGTCAAGTAAATCATGCGAGAAATTTATGGGATCGTGCTGTTACGATATTGCCAAGAGCAAATCAATTTTGGTATAAATATACTTATATGGAGGAAATGTTGGAAAATATTGCAGGTAGATTTTTTTCTTATTTCTTAAACTAAAATGTTGTGTTAAAAATATATTCATTGAAATATTTGTCTAGGAGCGCGTCAAGTATTTGAAAGATGGATGGAATGGGAACCAGATGAACAAGCTTGGCAAACCTACATTAAATTTGAATTCAGATATAAAGAAATACAGAGAGCTAGGCAAATTTATGAACGATTTGTAATGGTTCATCCTGATGTCAAACATTGGATAAAATATGCACGTTTCGAAGAATCTCATGGTTTCATTAATGGAGCTCGTGATGTCTATGAACGTGCTATTAATTTTTATGGCGATGAAAATTTAGATGAAAAATTATTTATTGCATTTGCAAAGTTTGAAGAAGGGCAAAGAGAAGTGAGTAACAATTTAGGATGAGAAAGGAATCTTCTATTTAATTGCCGTATAGTTCTGAAATAGTCTCTATAATTTAAATTATATTTTTGTTATGTACGATATTTTTATCATAGCATGACCGAGCCAGAGTAATTTACAAATATGCATTAGATCATATTCCAAAAGAGAAAACACAAGAAATTTATAAAGCATACACAGTACATGAGAAAAAATATGGAGACCGTTCAGGTATTATAAAATGTTACAAAATAATGTTTCATAAATAATATTTCATGTTTTTGTAATTCTAATACATTATTATTTGCAGGTATTGAGGATGTAATTGTGAGCAAACGAAAATACCAATATGAACAAGAGGTAAAAGAGAATCCTTCTAATTATGATGCCTGGTTTGACTATTTGAGATTGGTAGAGTCAGAAGGAAATGTAGACGTTATTAGGGAAACTTATGAACGCGCGATAGCTAACGTTCCTCCAACCAAAGTAAGTGATATATAGTCATGTTACATGATTTTATATATCAAATTCAATATCTTATGTATCTTACGTAAAATAATTATAATAATAATAGTAATATGAACTTATTATGCCTTGTAGGAAAAACAGTTTTGGAGAAGATACATTTATCTTTGGATAAATTATGCTCTTTTTGAAGAACTTGATACCGAGGATATCGAAAGATGTCGACAAGTTTACAGGTAATTAATATCATTTTGTCATAGAAAGTATAATAACTTAATCGATGTATTTATAATTTTTAGGGCATGCTTAGAATTAATTCCCCACAAGCATTTTACATTCTCTAAAATTTGGTTACTTTATGCATGTTTTGAAATAAGACATAAAAATTTAACAGCAGCTAGAAAAACATTGGTAAGTGTTACTGAATTTGAAATTATAAAATTATAATTTTATCACACCTAACAGTGTATATTAATATAGTGAGCGTTCTTTATTTAAACTAATTATAGGGTATGGCATTAGGAATTTGTTCTAGAGATAAATTATACCGTGGATATATTGATTTAGAAATACAATTGAGAGAATTTGATAGATGTAGAATCTTGTATGAAAAATTCCTTGAATTTGGTCCAGAAAATTGCACTACATGGATGAAGGTTTGTAAAGAGCAGGAGAGCTTTCTACCTATTATAATTTTAGAAGTTGAAAATTCATAACAACTATTTATTAACATTTGTTTATTCAGTTCGCAGAATTAGAAACTCTTTTAGGTGATGTAGAACGTGCACGGGCTATTTATGAATTAGCTATATCACAGCCAAGGTAAAATATTTAGAAATTATTACTTACTGTACTAATCTAAAGTATATTACTATAATCCTGTATCAAAACTAGTATTTTAATTTGTAGATTGGATATGCCCGAACTTTTATGGAAATCGTACATTGATTTTGAAATATCACAAGATGAAACGGAAAATGCGCGGCAATTATTTGAAAGGTTATTGGAACGTACACTTCATGTTAAAGTATGTTTAGATGCAGTAATTAAATATAAAGTATGTGATTGTAATAATATCGTTTGTATTGTTACGTAAATGTAAACCATAATGTTTAGGTGTGGATTGCATACGCTAAATTTGAATTGGCAAATTCAACGACCGAGGATGGTCTTGATAATGTTGTCTTAGCAAGAAGAATCTTCGAACGAGGAAACGATGCACTTAGATCGAACGGTGACAAAGAAAGCAGGGCACTGCTTTTAGAAGCATGGAGAGATTTTGAAAATGAGAAAGGGGATGATGAAACTCGTGCTAAAATTATGGAAAAAATGCCTCGAAGAATTAAACGGAGAAGGCGTATTGTTGGAGAAGATGGGGTAAATAAATTCTTTTATCATTATTTTTATCTTATTAAGAGAAACATTTCTCATAACTGTTATTTCTACTTTTAGAGCGATGACGGTTGGGAGGAAGTATTTGATTTTGTTTTCCCAGAAGATGAATCACAAAAGCCGAATCTTAAATTTTTGGCGTCTGCTAAAGCTTGGATAAAACAGAAGGAAATGAAGGAAAGAAATGAAAGTAATCAGAATGCCAATGTTCAATTAGACTCCAATAGTTAAGTTATTCTTTTAATTGTAGAAATTATTTACCATTATTTCTTTTTTAACAAATTAATATTTGCCTCTTTTGCTGTGTACATAAATGAATAAAATTATTCTGAATTTCTTTTTAAATTTAAAACAAAATTATGTTTATATTTTGCAAAATTTCATCAAAACATCTAACATTTATGTTTCTATTTATACAGTATTACTAATTAAAACTTTAATACCCTATAATGAAATGAAAAATTATGTGCAAAAAACGCGAGATGAGATAGAGGTTATTTAAATAATAAATTATAGTATTCAGTAGTTCTTTTATCGTATATCTTTTAATGTTTTATACTAATTTTAATGTACAGTTTTGTATTTCACAATGAAAAAGTAAAATTATAAACATACGGTATATACATTAATTTCAAAGGTTTATTTAACTATTGCAAATACAGTATAGAAGTGAAAAGTACAAAATATTTTTTGGCAGTCATGCGTTTCTTACCACAATGTACTAATTTTTTTATTTTAAATTTTCAATATAGCCTGTAAATAAAATTCATTCTCTTCCTATAATAATTACCATGAAAAAATAAACTAAAAATGTTGAAGAATAGCAAGTACTTCTGAATATAAAACGCAGATCTGCTGCAATAATTCGAAGTGTCCTTAAAGACAAAAAAAAGAAGTTATTATAAAAAAATACTATACATTGTTGTTTTAAATTATACCAATTTGTACTTGTTACAATATAGTGAACTGGAATATCATTTTGATATAACTATCCATCTCCTTAATCTGCTTATATTATTTATTTGTCTTTATAGAATATTTCTTTTTTTCATCACTTTCAAAACCGGAATCTAAGTCATCGCTTAAACACTTTTTTAACATATAAATTTTCGAGTGTTGCTGTGATTTTTTCTGTCCAATCGATAGTTTTTTAATACAGGTTATTAATTGTTCAAAAAAATTAGGATAACTATCATATCCAGGAAATATATTTACATCTATTATTGCATATTTTCCAGTATGATTTTCGATAACAACATCTACACCAACCAAAAGAAGTCCAAAAAGTTCTGTGATTTTCTTGACAATCTTTTCTAATATTTCATGTTTTGGCTTTACTGTTAATGGAATGTCTTCTTCTGACAAAATTGACCATTTAGATCTAGAATCACTTTTAGATATATCATGAGATCTAAAAAATATTGTATTCAGTATGGTACAGTCTTCTTCATAAAAATTCTTGAAACTGGGTCTCTCAACAACATGAAAGTGTTCCCCAACTATGTATATTTTGTAAAGAATCGCATTATGATTGATAAATTCTTGAGCCACACAAGGTGGCAGACAATCATTCAAACCTTGTTCATTGAAAATCACCATCATCTGAAAAAATAATTATTGAAAATTTGTACACTTTATATATACTTTTCTCAAAGTACAAAGTACCTTATGCGCATCATTGGAACCTTGAGCAACAAGTGGTTTGCAAATAAATGGAAACTTGATACCTGCCATTTTTAACATTGACATATTGTCAATGTTACTTTTGCTTTTAATTTCTATAAATCTTGGAGTAAATACATCTAGGAAACATAAGTATACAGATTGTAGTTAATAAAAATATATGTATAAATTTATTATGTATTTGCTATTAAGACTATATCAAGCATTACGAATTTTGCTTTACCATTGAGTTGTAAGTGTTCTTGTAAGATTTCATATGATTTATAACGATTTATTAAAATCTTAATATTATCTAAAGAGTCAATAACTATTATTTCAGGATGTTGGCAGAAGTACTCATTTATTCTTGAAATAATTGCTTTGGCCTGAAATACCGATTAATTATTATAACAGTTCTAATTGTGACAATTATAAAGAATTTTATCATACATTTTGGTCACCATTTTCAGCATGTGCAAATTTATCTGTCAGTTTATGTATAAAAACATGAAATGGTCCCTGAGATTCAAGATCAGAGTTAATATCAATCTGAAATCAATACAATCACTTGTGAAATATTGCATCTAATATAAAAAAACGCGTAGAAAACTAAATATGTAATTTACATATACATAACCTCACATTATCGTAATGACTCGTAAGACGTAACTATTTAATTACAGTTAAGAAAAACTTTGAAATTATTTACCATTTTTAATAGAAATCCTTCAGACTCACAAATACTATAAAAATCATTCCAATTAAATTTCTGTCGCTTTTTTTCGGATATCGAATAACCAATGACATACTTGTCGCACATTTCTTTTCGCGCTGTTTTCTTATGTTCAATATAATTTTTATCTATTAAAGCGTTTGCAGAACATTATTCCAATAATCTTCTTAAATAAACTATATTTTATTAACACGTTATCTACGGAATTTTTATGTCAAGCAGTTGCATATTTTTATCACAATGTAAGGTTATGTTTGCATCGTTTGAAAAAATATCTTTCACGGTATTATTACTTTTTCCAATTTCCACACATTTTACACTAAACTTAAGGATGTGTATTCGTTTAAATTAAAACTTCATGCAGAAGCAAGATTATTATGATTTATTTCAAATTATAAATATTAAATGATTACAGGTTAGAGGTAATATAACAATGGTAGGTACATGCTATTTATGCTTGATTATACTACATTTATAGTATTCTAGTACATAATATAATTATCTGAAAGAAAAATGGTTTTATTTACAATATGTTATGAATATTTTTAAACATTTGTTTATTGTTCATTTGGAAATAAATTTTACGAAATGCGTCACCGTCATTGCATCCTCAATTGTAATATCTGCAATACGCGTTTTCAATCAAATCAACAACTCCATATTTTTTCTATGGTCTAGATAAGGGACTAAAATTAAATCAACTAAGTAATATAAATAAATGTATTAACAATTATTAAATATTTCGTTCGTCATAAAGATTGAAATAATATATATTTTACTGATCGAAATTTTTAACTTACGTTGATTTTCATATAGTTACTTCATACATACATGTATATTAATTGTGCTATTATTGAAGTTATTATTTTATCTTCGAAGATTCATTGCAAGAGTCGGGCATTTTGTTTGTAACAAAATCCGTAATATTGTCATTAAAATCATTCGTATTTTCACCATCTGATTGATTCTGATTGTTCGTTAATATTCGAACTTCTCCGAGAGAATACGAACCAGAACATGGTATATATAATTCTCCCTCGGATTGCCACGTATTCGATAACATTTCGCTCTAAAACACGAAAACACAATAAATACATACATTTTGCAAGATACATAAATTTCGATATTGATAAATTTCTCAAATTTTTAACCTTATTCGATTCTATCGTAGATATCGTAGATATATCTGTGCTAGGGATTCTGTAAAAAAAAATTCCAATTTTTATTGCTATTTTCTCACCTAGGATGCTGATCATTCGAATAATTCGTATTGAATGTAGAGGTGCTAAATTTTTTATGTACCTCGTTGTATATGTCCAATAAAATTTTTTCTTTGTCAAACGTATTATCGAAATGTGAAGTATCTACGTGCGGTACTTCCCCGCTAATCCCTGCACTAATAACATGTTCAACTTCGTTCACTTTCTGTGAAGATTTCACCTCATTCGACGTCGTTCTCGAAAGATTTCTCGGAGATGATCGAAGAGACGCACAATCGTGCAAAGAATCGGCTAAAGAAACCTGCGAAAGGTTGTTGCCATTTTCACGTGGCGCAGTTTTTCCAGTGTTTTCAATCGTAGATCGTGATCTTACAGAATTTTCTTTTCTCGTTTCAGAAATTCTCGAATCTTTCTGCGTTACGCTTTCACATTTCTCTTCGCACTTTGCCACTAACGATATCTTTTCAGTTTCTTTTAAGCCATCTTTGCCATTTTCATTCTGTGAAATACTCTTCTTTCGTAAAGTATCAACGATTTGATTTAATTCCCCATTTTCAGTTTCTTCGCGAACATCATTTGGCATACTTTTCGTAGAGCTTAAGTTTTCGCTATTACTTTCTTTCGTTTGCAAATTCACCTCGTTAGCTTGCGAAACGACATTCTTATTACTACTTCTAGGGCCACTTTTCGTGTCAGAATTCTCTTTCAACGACTCAACGTCAGAATTGACTCTACTTATTTTTTCAACTGAAAAATTTTCGTCTTCTTTAGATTGCAACAAGTCCTCGCTACACTCAGCAGGGACAGTAACTTTCTGTTCCGATTCAGATACATCTGTAATACTTTTCCTCTCGACAATTTCTTCGTCACGTTCGATCATTTTCATCGCAACGACATTTACCTCGTTTGGTGGATATTCCACTTGTAAATTTCGTTTCTCAGACTCGCCATTCGGTTTCCCAGTTTCCACTGCTTTTATATTCTGCACAGAAGCTGCGTTGCTCGTCAATAATTTTTTAACGAACACCTCGAAATTCTCTAAATTCGACGGATCGCTCTTCAGACTCTCTAATAAACTCTTCATTATCAGCGGTGCAATTTCGTTGATATTAAAAATCTTCCTTATCTCGTCCTCCGTAAACGGTGATTCCCCTCGAACGGTGCTCTTCATTTCCGCCAAAACGTCCCTCAAAATATTCGAATACAGAACCTTGTGAAAACTCGCGTAATCGAAATTACCATCTTCGATTTCTATCGCGTTCAATTTCAAATTCGCCGCTTCGTCGCGAAGATATTGCTGATTAATTGTTTTCGAGATTTCTTCAGATATTTCCCTATCGTTCTCGAACTCGTTATCCGTGCTGAAAGATGCGGGACACATCGATACTGTCGACAAGCTCGAACCCCCGTTTTCAACTTGACAAAAACGCGTTTCGAAAGGACCAATTTCAGATTTCACTATTTTCCTACTTTCTTTACTATTTCCACAAGATTTCACCGTTGCCTCTCTGTCTAACTTCCCCGAAGCGATCGATCGATCTTTCGTTTTCAGCTCTGTTTTTTCAGGGCATTTATTCGAACTTCTAACGATACACTTTCTCCATCGATTATCAATATCTTTCACATCTACCGGCGTTTTCGATCGCTCGAATTTCGTGAATTTCACATGTCGTTTCGTTGGACGCGCGTGATCTTCGATCACCGAATCCTTCATTCTTAATTCTGTGTTCTCTTTCATTTGCAAAGGACGAGACTGATCGTCGTTTGCCGTAAGACCTACCTTAATTTTCCTCTCACTCAGCTGTGTTATCGAATCGAGAGATTGTGAGCTGGCTTCGACAAAGTATTCCTCAAGTTCCGGTTGCGAGAGGAATTTGTCGATCGTTCTCGCAGATCGCGCGACACTGTCGATTGTTTTATCGTACGCGACTAAAACTATATCCAATTCGTCGAAACAGGGTTCGTACAAATTGTAAAAATCACACGATTCCTCCGAGTTATCCGAAGAATCGATACTCGAAGGTGTATCATTGGAATTACCATTTTTCCTGGATTTTTTTTCTAGATCGCAATAATTTTTCAGAATACTCGTGAAACGTTCATCTATCACGCTATAGCGTTCATTTTTCTCCGTTCTCCGTTCTCCCCATATTTCCCTGTGCCTTTTCTTATCGACCGCACATTTATCTTCGATTTTCTTCGTCGAGAGTGGAACCAGATACTTGTCGTTTATTTCAACAGTTTTCGAAGACGAAGGACGCTTCAACTCTTCCGTATTATCCTTTAAAACATTCTGACCTTCTGGTTCAACGGATTTCGACGATACCTTTAAATCTTCCTTTAAAACCGTTCCATCTTCCTTCTCACTTGGTAATTCATCGACGTGAGTTTTCTTATTTTCCCTCTTCGAAGTTTGCTGCTCGCCGAATCGTACTTGCTTCTGTTCGTTCCCGGAAGCTGCCTTAATTGTCGAATCTCCTGCCTCTTGATCGATAACTTTATCTTCGTGTTTAGCATTCGAAACATCGCGGAGAGATTTCTCCGTACTTCGATCCTCCGACCTGTCTTCCTTATCATCCGAATTCTTCGTTAACGATTCTTTCTTATCGACTGTTTTTTCTACATTCACAACTGTAGATTCTTCCTTATCTTCCGTGGTAACGATACCAGATCTTTCTGGGATTTTCTCGGATTTTTCCGAAACTTGTGAAAAATCGGAGCTATCGTTAACTTCCATTTCTTTGGACTCTTTAGGACGTTTCTTCTTCTGTTTACCGTTAATCGATCTCGTTTTATTTTTATTATTTCCATTAGTTTCTTCCACTATCCTCACGAATTTCTCTTTACGCCTTGGAGAAGCGTTCTCCGCGAAGAAGTCGCGATAGAACACGTATGTTCCAACGTTCTGGCTTTCTTGCACGAAACAAGGATTAGGCGAGATATGGATGCTTTCTAAATTTTGCCTGATCAGTTCTCCTTTGATGTCCACCGATGGACCGGCTTGAACAGAACAGCTGTTAATTCTTCTATTTTCTTCTTCGTTCTCTCGTCTTCCTGAGAGAGAAGAAGCACAGGCTTCGTCGTTGTATCGTGGTTTCTCTTTGTTACCAGACAGAAGTTGCAATTGTTCGATTTGAAAGTTTCTTCGCCGAGAAAATTCTCTGTACCGATCTTCGGAAGTTCGGAATTTCGGTGCGGATAAATCGACGGATCTCTTAAATTTCATTGCTACATCGTCTTCTTCTTCTTCTTCTTCTTCTTCTTCTTCGTGAAACTGTTCGTTTTTCGAAGTTGGGCAGATGGTATCGATCCAGCCATTTGCTTCTTCAAATTTATACGTTACACGCTCCCGGATGTATAGCAATTGATCGGTTTCGTCTTCGAACGAAGCCTCGCCTTGGTATCTGAAGAGAAATCTCACGTTGTACATATTGATTTTGTTAAAAAGGTACGAACGAAGGGTGAATATATTTTTCAGCGATGAAAGTTTGAAAAGTCTGTCGATACTTTCGGGTAACTGAAAATTTCAAGACGATAGAAACAACGTTTCGGGTATAAATGAAGCTGTCAACGGGATGAAAGTTGCTATTTTCTTTCCTCTTTCTTTTTTTATTAAAATTTTATTTCTTCATTTACAATATAACGAATATTGGAGATTTTCGAGTGTGAATTAATTAGACTGTGGACGTTTGTGCAATTGTAAACGATGAAAATATGTAAAATACACGAAAGTTATGTTAGACTCTCTTGAGATAAGTAAAAAACAACACTAATTCGTAGATTAATAATATCACAGTACGGTCGGTAAGATTGCAACGTTACGTCACGTGTATTTTTTTATATTTTGATAATAATAATATACTCGAAGACATTTTAATATCTAAATACTCAATATAATTGAGATACTTACATACTTCTGCTCGTTCTTTTACAACCACCAGAACCGGCGGATTTGCTTATTTCTTTTATTTGAATTTTTGCATCTTTGATTAATTTCTCGACGTCTTCGAGAGCAGCCGATGTTTCTGGGCTGAGAATCAAGGCAGCTGGAAGCTCTGATATCCTGTTCTCAGACTGAGAATGAAACGAAATCATCTGATAAGAGGGAAAAATCAGAGGAGAAGAAATAACGACACATTGTTGATATGAATCGGAGATAAATTTAGAGAAAGAATATCTTGAATAACATATGCTACATGTTTTATATAAAAAGCTGTTTTAAATAGGAAACGAAATTTTTTAAACGAACAAAATATTTTTATTCTAACAACTTCATGCACATAACGAAACATCTTAACCTTGTATTTGAAATTTCGTTGTGTCGACAATGAAAATTAGTGGAGAAAGGAAATGATGTTGTAAAATACAAGAAATTAGAATATTTGGCAAAGTGAATTGCTTTTTAGTTCAAGCACGATTATTTGTTTGTAACGAAGTAAGGACCTACGACGCACAGAATTTTCATCGTTTAGGTTACTCGGTTAATTATGAATAAACTGAAGATAAATGACGATAAATGAAATATTTCAGAATAAAGCCTGACTATTTTCAATATCCTTCGAATAAAATACTATTTGGAAAAGTTCTTGCAGTAAATGAACTATTTCATTTTCATAATTATACGATTTCAAGTAAAATAGAATATTTCCTATTCACTGTTTCAAAGAATATTTTGCTCAGCTCTGGATCTGATGCAGAATGTAATTTGTACTCGATGGAAACTGGGAGATTGTTATTTCTGTTAATAAAAAATCTTATTTTAGCGAAAATAAATATTTCTCTTCTAACGAATTGTTAAAAATTTACAATTATTCATATACGCAATATTGAAAGAAAAAGTTGTACAGAAGTATGAATAAAAAATGATTACACGATAATGCAGGTACCTGTATATCGGCAACGACCTTTGCCGGAGTCAGTAAGATCTTCTTCGCACTCCTGGCGGTTTCCGGTTTAGCACGAGAACTTTTCACGCGACTTCTTTCCGAGTGGATCTCCTCTCTTTGTCGCTCTATTGGCACGCAAGTCTGGCAATAACAATCTGAGAGCATTGTCGGACGACAGGATTTGACTAAACGAGGCGGAGGATATAAATCCAAGCACTTGCGCTTCTCTCTAGAACAAAAAAAGAAATAATCATATTTATAAAATAATATCAAGTTGGATTTGCAATTCTAAATTATAGGCGAGATCTTTATTAAGATCTAAAGATTCAAAAATCTTTGCCAAAGAATCTTGTCCTTTTCTCTACAAAATAAAATACCAACAATTATCAATTCAGCACACGGTGAGAATTCTACATACTTGGAGAAGATGTGCGATTTTTTTGCAAATGGGAATACGAAGAAATGATAAGAGAGAGAAAATTAAACGATTTAAGGAAATTTGCAACGATTCTCTGAGTAAATTTCTGCACGCAACAATGTATGTACGTGGTTTTTCTTTATCTAACGACATTATGGATTTTTCTGAACATTCTGGGTATACAAAAGCGATAGAGTACCGAGAATAAGTTCAATAAACGACTGCTACTATACGAAAAAAAATGATTTCCTTATGAAATTTGTCACTATTATTATTTCTTCTTTCTTTCCTTCACACTTTTTGTATCGTCAAGTTTTACGATTCTGATATTCAAACAATCCAATTAAAATTATTACCAAGACGCATTCCGGTAAAAAATTTCAACGAAACATTACCAAAATTTAATTTCTCATTCGCAGCACCAAATTTAAAAAAAAAAAAAAAGAGGATATTTCAATAAGTAAATCTTCCATTACGATATAGAAATTCAATAAATTTCAAAATCTCCAGATATTTAAAATCTAATATAAAAATTTGCAAGATTTTCGCTCAGAAAAATAAGAACTATAATATAAAAAGTCGTACGTAGTCGCGCGCGTGCGCAAACCAGAAGAGCAATTTCAAGAACCGATGGCAATAAAGTTATAAATTTCTTTGGAACAGGGGTGGATGTCCCTGAGCTTCCATCTCTTACTCGGCTCGGGAATAGAATCAAATTGTCCCTCGTGCATTACATCGTGAAACTCTACGTTTCTGGCTCTGGCTGCGTTACAACTATCTCTACATGTACACGTGATAATATCGATCCTTAAAGGGAGCCGCTTCTTTCTTACTCGTCATCGATTCTTTCACCATCCTCCAATTCGCCAATTCCTTTTTATCGTCGACGTTTGCCACATTCAGTTCGTTCACTTCTCTCTTACTTCTTTACCCTCGTTTAATTTTACCTGCTTTTACACAAAGAAAAATAAGGAACCAATACTCCAGTGGAAAAAAAAATTCTAAGTGTAAAAAGAAATACTTGGGAATAATTAATATTTGGAAAGTATATTGATATACTTAAAAATTAAGAACGAGTTTTTAGTAATGATAAAGTTTAGTTTATTTCGAGTATTTTCAGATTTTTATTTTAGGTTAGGTTACATACTTTTTTTTACATAATTTCATATATGCAAAATTATTCTTCCCTGTCAGAAATCCATCGTAATCAACGCGAAACCTAGAATATCGATTGCTTGAACTAAGTAATTTGAAAAAAGGTCATCGACTGGAGTAATTATTTTTCCACGTTTCGTATTTCTATTCAGAGTTCAAATGAAATACGAGCAAATTCGCTACAACTCCACAGACTTGCACGATGGATTTTTCACGTGTATATACACGCCGTAGTTGGAAAATCGTGGGAAGGTGACGTCAGTGCACTTCCAACAGGCTTCCCACTTTAATGCTCCCAGACTTACTGATCAATAACAGTACGTCAAAGCTACGTAATTCGCGACGTCCTTTAAAGTCGATGGATTACTGGACGACACTCTTGCACAGAGTGACTCACCTAATCACGTGTGTCATTTTGCCACACTACCGATGAAAATTGCTCGATCAAACTCTCGGAACGATTCGACCATTTCCTATTGTTAAAACTAATTTCTATCGAGCAAAAGATAGATGGTACAGAGTGACTGATAAAAAAAAGTGCCACTTGTCATTTTTTGTGAAGATTTGTTAAAACGTTTCAGATGTTTCAAGCAACGCGAAATGTGTAATGATAAATTTTCACACATTCGGGAATTTCTCACTCTTCTCCCACCACTTAGCGGCCTAGAGATCAGTGAACCTAAACACGTGGTCAAAGAAAGTGGCTACCACCTGTGTTTCGATGAATCGGCCATATTAAAAATATCAATTTCTAGAATTTTCATGCTATCTTTATGAAAATAGTATTAACGGCTTGGTGAGATTCTCCCGATGAAAAGGAGTACAAACACGACCTATATCGGACCGAATTTAAAAATAATCAATTTTAAATCCCCTTGAAAATTGTCGTACGTCTCGCTTCCACTATACAAGGTATTTAAATTGATCACCAATAAAACTGATTCAATTTACATTGTACATAGATTCATTTTTATCAGGAGAATTTCATCGATTCATCGGTGATTTTCATAAAGATAATATGAAAATGAGAAAAACTGAAATTTCTGATATTAAACGATTCATTGCAACGTCATCGCTCGCTCAAACGTCATTGATTAAAAAAGAGCATTGCCAAAGGGAGACAGATGAAAGAGTTGTACCTTCGTAAAATACAAGCCGAAGAGAGAACATAGTCGTCGGAAGTAAAACAAAGATCGCCTTACTAAACAGATACGCCCACGCACCTATGACGTTGACCTATTGAACCGCTACGTATACAGATCTCGCTTGGTATTCGTCGGTGTGGAAAAGTGGTGGGGGAGAAATCCACGTGACAGGCCATTGGCCGGCGGCGCCAATATATTTGACTCAGACTATAGCCGCCAGTGCATAGATGCCTTATTGTATCGCAAAAAGGAAGAGTAACGTTTTGTACGTTTTAAAGTGTGAAATTTAGTACAACGAGTAATCGTATATTACGTTAATTATCAGTTACAATGAATTGTTTCAAAAAGTATCGTCCTGTGCACACTTAAATAATATCAAAATTTACTTCTTAATGAACTTTTAATGGTTTTACCTCCGATATTTGCGTTCCAACACATGAATACAAACATCATCATTGAGAATCAGATGATTATCTTGTTGAAACGCAAATGGATTTTGCAATTCTAATTTTCCCACCATTTTACCGTAAGGAAAAAGAAGCTACCGGCAAATGAACACGTATATGCAAATGAGCGTACAATGGGACGCTGTGGAAAACGTTTCGCTTCATGAGAATCCACTGTAAATGGAACTGCTTATTTAGACCTTTTAAAGCAAAGTTTCGAAAGCTAAATAATACTTTCAAGGGAATTCCAATGTACAGAGTGTCTTGCGATATATATTTCAGAAATTTCTCCCGCTTAATTCTCGCTAGAAGGTGTAGGTATTAGGAATATTCAAGGAAACATCCCGATATTAGTGAAGAAATATAAATCTGTATCAAAAAATAATTGAAACCCTTTTTTATCAAATACATTCTTTAGAAATCATTCAAAGTGGACAAATTATTATCTTTTACAATATAAAATATGTCTTTTACTAAATTTTACATTGGATTTTATCCATACAAATCTTAAAAGAAGAGTCGCTTTATTTTTTTTCCACAGCTTTCTCTTTTACCATACTCTTCGTATCTGGTTTTAATTATTTTTCAGTCAAATCAATGGTGAAAACAATGAAAAAATGTCAAAATGGAAGTCGTTTGCAATATTTTTATTCTATTCCATTTTCGACTTGCGTTTCAATTTACTGTGCAGTTGAAACAGAAGAAAAAAAAAAATTAAGAGGAAATATAGTACAAGAAGATAACAAGATGGAGGGAACAATGAAATTATAAAATGAACAGCAACAAGGCGTGAATTAACTTAACTTTTAATCAGTACCATGCTTGGTTTCGCTAGCCTAAACACGATATCTCACAAGTCACGCGCGTATAATTAACGAGTGTGAACAGGGAACAATCAGATGCGATGAAAAAATCCGTATCATCGATGAAAATTTACGTCAATCGATCGAATTCGAACTTATTATTCACGCAGCTGTCCTTTCCATTTTTTGCCTGTCGGGGAATCGAATTAATTAATTATCAGAGTTTCGTCGCTTCGTATAGGGTGGTAATGAGAGTATTCGTAGAAAATTGTGAAAATTGCAAAAAGTGTAATTCTCGCTGAATCTTTTACTCTTGCTGAACTGAGAAGTGGACAAACTCGTCGATTCGTAAATTTATCAATTGGTATTTCATAAATATTTTCACAAGGATACACTAAAAAATGAAGAATATCTATTAACCCTTTCGCTGCGGCAGATTATCAACCAAATCTTTCGTTCTGTCGTTTAAAAATTTTTCAAACTTTGAAATTTATCATTTTTAAATTTCTATTGTTTAATTAAAGCAAGAGTACTCGAAGGATTGAATTTTAAGCAAAATTTAAGGATTGCGAGAAATTTTCAAAGCGCCAATAGCAGTGAAAGGGTTAAGATAGAGACTATCGTGACAATTATGGTTTCTACTCTTCAGAAAGTTCACTTTAAAAATCATAAAAGAAAAGGTAAAAATTTATACCGCAGAGTAACTTGAGAAAAGGAGAATTGCATCGTTAGAAACGTGCAGATTCCCAAAGTGTACCTCGACTTTACACATTTCTAAATGCATATACACAAACCACATAGAAAATCAGCTTTCGCGAATTCGTTGAACCTGTAAACTTCAAAGAAACAAGCGCGAAATGACTTTCGAAGCCGTTTTCCGGAAATCGATCGAAAAATTGTTTCACTTCAAAAATTCAAAAATCAACTATCGAAGTTAAACTTTTGTTTTCATGGAAACGATAGTAAACACTCTTCCAACAGGAAAGCATCCTAACTTAGCAAAATAAACAATAAATTAAAGTAAGAAATCAGACTCGTTACACTATACATCGTCTCGCGACGAAAACAAAAACAGATCGTTCTGAAAATCTCGATGAATTTTCCAAAGAATCATCCTACACCGTGCTCTCTGCCTCGACGTGGAAGAATAACTCTATTATCTTCGTCACGCTATACATCGTTAATAAAAGAAGAAACAATAAATATGTATATATCTTCGTGGAAGAATAAATGCGGAATAGAAGAGATAAAGTGACAAACGTAAGCTAAAGGATAACAGATACACACGATAATGGATAATACAAGAAGAATTCCCGATAAAAACGAAGGCGTGTGATATAAAATAAAAGTAATATCGGTGAAGATTAAACGAGCCGCGCGCAATCGACTTTGCTCTTTGCTCGCCAAACAATACAATCGACGTTCTTACCCTTCTTCCCTCATCGAGTGTCTTCTTTTTTCTCTTCTTCCTGAAGACAGTCATTACTGTCGATCCCCTTTGATTCATCAGGCTAAATCATCATGGTGTACACGTTAATTCTCTCCAAGTTGAAATAAATCTTCGAACGCTACGGATCATTTTCTTCTTTTTTTTTTTTTCAATCTATTTTTCTCGAGCGATTAACGCGCGTAAGTGAATCGTGCACATACGATTTCTAATACACAGAACACTCGTGTATTCCGCAGATTCTCACGTACTAATCAACAACCTCGGGGAGAGTTATCAGCGCAAAAGTATCGCGCGAAATTCATCACGTTTCCGTGCGCTTCGATATCCAAGAAATTTTCCATGCCATTCGAGCGACCTTTTTCTCTTCAACACGTTCGTCGTTTCTTCCGAAAATTTCCATATGAAAATTACGATCGTTCCCAGGCTTTGTTTTTAGTTTTCTTCGTTCGGACATTAGAAGAAACAGACCGGCTGATTATCTTCTCTAGCTGTGGTTGGTGCGAGAAAATCTGTACCAAGAAACTTAAATGGTTTCAAAAAAAATTTGTTTATATAAAAACTGATAGGAAGTTTCACATTTGATTTTTAAAGTCATACTATTATGCGTGTTTAAATGCACAGAAAAACATACAGTAGAAACAAATGGCATTTATAAAAAACAAATTTCTTCCATCTTTGAAACTGTTTAAATTACGTATACAAATTTTATCGTACCACCATACAGTTAGAGAAGATAATTGTGTAGGCCTGTTTTACACAAAATCGTGTATTATGTCATAATTGATGAAAAATGTACCTTTCTTCGTTATTTACACGGAGTGTAAAATTTTCCTATCTACACAATTTTTCTCTTCCAGATTACACGAAGAATTCTTTCTTCCTCCGTCTTAAGATAAATTTTATAATTATCTCTCGTATTTTCACTGAACTGTGGTTGCAAGGAAATCAATATCGCGCAAGATACTTCTTTTCCTTCAAACTGTGAAGAACGGCGAAACATTTAAACAACGCCTATTTCTATTGAACAGTGTAATATAAAGGGTTAGCAGGAACTTTAACTGTATACATACTAATAGTAAGTGATAATTTCGTATTTAACAAAAATTTCAGACAGAGTCGACGTATTAATATTGAAATGTTAACGTATTGGCTAATTTCGCTCATTTTATCAAAACGTTAGCATTGCATATTTCGAAAAGTGCTCGAGGTACACTACGCTGAAAATTCTATACAGTTCAATCGCGAGAGATTATGAAAAAATTCTTCGAGTTTGAAAAAAACAAATCGTTCACTATGACAACAATTCGCGCGTGTTTTGACACGTAGAAAAGGCTCGTATGGCGACGACTATCTGCTTTAAGTTCACTCGGTCTCTGGTTGCGCAGCAGACAGTGAAGCATGGCTGGCATTCGAGCCCCGTCTGGAAAAGACAGATCAATATGCTGCTGGGTTTGCCGCTTTCTTCCTGTCTCGCTCGTTTCCCGGCCTCTCTCTCTCTTTGGCCCAGCTATTGCACCAGCTGAACATTGGCATTGATTTTCAAAGTTAGGCAAGTGTTGTCCGGCTGCGAAGACTACGGGAGAGCCTGGTGTGGCTCTCCCGACTCTCTTTTTCCCCCTCGCCAACCGGCAATGTTACATGCACTTTTTTTCAACGTACCATCGATCAATACGCCTCGATAACGCGGCAATTTTCCCCAAAAATTGCGCCGATTGCTCTTCCCTCGATTTTTCATTCGTGAAAAAAAAGTCTCCATTTTGCTCGGGGATAACGCATTCCCGTTCAAGTAACAAGAGAAGTATAATTCTACTCGTCGATGAAGGTTTCGTTACAACGAACAATAAAGAGAAATGCAGAAATTGTTACACATCAACACATATATTTTGCTTTTGCATGTTGTATACATACGATAAACAGTACAGTGTTTACGCGTTCCTCGAGGTATGGTATACTAGAAAATTTCATTATCCACTACTACAATTGCTATTCGACGTATTATTTCGTTACTTCCGCTTTTATGTGTATTTTTTTTTTTTCTGTGTAATTCTATCATGAGAGAATCGATAAAAGAAGAGAGAAAAACAAAAAAAAATAATCAAATGGAACGAATACAATATACAGCAACTGTGTGAAACACACTCTTCGCTCTCTCTGTTCGTAAAGATTCACTTTTCACATTTTTCTGTATTTTTCTCTCGGAGAAGAACAGTTATATGTATCGCGCGCTTTTCTCGGCGCTTCTCTCCTTTATTCCCTCGGAAAAAAGAACGGAAACCGATAAATCTGACGAAAATTCGGCTTTGGTCGTCGACAATGAAATTGAACGATTGCAAAGGCTACGGACTTTAAACTTAAAACGATATAATTATTCAAGATTAATGGTAACAGTCATTATTCATATCGTATTGCTATTGGTGCTACGAAATATCGCTTTATGAGTTTTTTCGTTTCTCCTTTTTGTTTATTCCAATTTCCAATTTCGTTCATATGGCCAACCGACAATGAAAAGAAGAAGAAAAAAGGGAACAACTAGAAGATCAAAGACAAACAATAAGATGAGGAGGAAAAATAAAAAGGAAGGAAAGTCTCTGCTGTACTCGCTCTCAAAGATCAAAAAGCATACGCACGCACACACACACAAACACAGCCTGAGAGAATAATGAACGCGCTGCTGCTCTCCCTTGCCACGGGACCAATTGGTGTCTCCTCTCTTTCTCTTATTCCTCGGAACATTCTCGAAGAACAGTTTCGGAAAATGGGCAAGCGTTAAAACGATCCCAGCGCGAATAATGCGAAAGATAAGAGAAAAAGGGTAGCAAAAAGAAAAAGAAATAACAATCGGCACTTAGACCATTTCGACGACCAGTCTACCCTCGTGTATCGTGTATCAACATGATAGACTCTTCTTTAGTTCCCTCGTCAACAGATCAACTTTCATCGACAGCGAGAGAAAGAGAGTGAGAGAGTGGGACTGCTTTTGTGACTGCGTGTGAGAAAAACCAACGGAAAACAAGAGACGAGTTGTATCTGTATGAAAAAACTGCGTCGTCAAAACTTTTGTCTGCATTTTCTCTTGTTCCCTGTTTGGGGAAAAAATGGCAAGCGTATACTACCTCGTTGAACGACAAGTGTGCCGTGAACAACTTAGACTAAAAAATATCACGTACAACCCCTCTCCTCTCCAAATATATTGCTATGATCACACTTTTTTTTATTTCTTCTTTCAGCTCCTTCTCTCTCTCTCTCTCCATCTTCCACTACTCTTTCTGCGTGTGTTTCCTTTCATCGCTCGCTCAACATTCTCGTCCATTTATCAGTTTTTCACGATATTTCGGAACATGGGTTCACTTACGCTACGCAGATAGCCTCTACACACCAGTTGCCTCGCGACGGACAGATCTCGTCTACGAAGCAACGTACGATTGAAAAAAGAACGCCGTTGACCAAGAGAAACAAGAACCCCAATATTCGGCTGTAAATGAACGCGCGCGTTTCAACGGCAAATCCCAAAGCGCCGTCTGTAGAGAACCTTGAGCTTTGCAAACGCGCGTGATCGCCGTCGTCGTTCTAACTCTTCGCGTTTAATATATTCTTGCCAATCTGTTTTCTACAAATATATACAAAAGGTGCTGCACTCGCGGCCGAACGATCCCTCTCCCGAACAAAGGACACAACACGGTTGGCAAAAAGATCTTCGGACACACGGCTAGCCGGAGAATATAACACGACATATCTTTGCGTTTTTCGGTTTTTCGTTTTGTTTCGTTTGCTTTCCTCTTTTTCTATATGCGCTTTTTTTTCCTTTCTTTCTTTCTTTTACTTCGTTTTTTAGACAATAGCGAGTGTACGGTTCCTATTTGACGGGCGTTACCTTTTTCATCGGCAAAATGAAAAACCAAAAGGCCCTCTCACTTAAAGTCTAGCGATTAACTAAAGGTGAAAGTGGACGTTACACAAAAATCGGATATTGATTCACGTTCATATTGACTTGATCGAAATTAATAATGCTCGACTTCCAAACACACACACACCAATCCCCGCTCGTACCTCCTTTCTTCCCTTGTGTGTTCTCTCGAGTACCACCGGATGAGTCTTGCAAGGGACATTTTATAGCGATTACATGGTAAAGAGAAAGAACGAAAAATAAACAAAAAAAAAAAAGAAAAAAAGAAAATGACAAGATATCGCGCCGGTGCGCGCTTGAATATTTTATACAATGACGACAGTGTTTTATATGTCACTCCTCCTCGATTCGGTTCCTCCAATAACGATTCAAGAAAAAGAAAAAAAGAAAAAAAATAATTTAATAGATAACACGCAAAACAAGTTTCTTTTGTACATTTAAAAATGATTATTCCTTTAGTCCATAAGTTTTATTAATAATGTGGTATGTACACATATACACAATGTACAGAAAACCCGTACGTTGGGTCTAAATATGTCCGCCTTTACTTTCTTTCATCATACAACGAGTGTGTCGTAGTAGTAGTAGTAGTAATAGTAATAGTAGTAGTAGTAGTAAGTAGTAGTAAGTAGTAGTAAGTAGTAGTAAGTAGTAGTAAGTAGTAGTAAGTAGTAGTAAGTAGTAGTAAGTAGTAGTAAGTAGTAGTAAGTAGTAGTAAGTAGTAGTAAGTAGTAGTAAGTAGTAGTAGTAGTAGTAGTAGTAGAGTAGTAGTGGTAGTAGTAGAAAGAGTATACAAATAAAAGATTAGAAAAGAACAACTGTCGGGGATTTATCCGACGCGAGCTTTACAACTCCCAAGCGTGATACTTTCAACTTCGATTAATCCGCGATGATCACGTGATACAAACAACGTGAGTGAAAATAAAGTATAATACAACCGCTCTCAATTTTTACGTCATTGTGTTTGGTTAATTTCATATATGCAAGCACGCGGACGAGCGCGCGCGCGTGTGTGTGCATGTGTGGGGTATGTTATATGAAGCAAATCATGCGCGACACGCGCGCGTGTTTATGTATGTATGTACGTACGTTTTCTAAATGTGTATGCAACGTATTTCGGCATATGTTGTTGTTGTACTTCAAAAAATTGCGAAAACATTCGCGACTCAAGAAACAATAAAGAAAGGCGATCGTGCCCTAAGTACAAACCCAAAACTGGACACAAAAATCTCTCCGCGGTTTCATCTATGTCCTTCCCGCATATATATATTCGACAAACTCCATGTGTTTCTTTCTTTCTTTTTTTTTCTTTTTTTTTTCATTTGTTTCCTTGCACATTAACCGTTCTGCGATAATCCCATTTATATACACGTGTGCAGGACCGACGGCAACGTGCGCAAAAGTGCCAAAGACTTCCTTCTCAAGACCAGTCGACAAATCAATTCGATCGAACGAACGAACGATCGATCGATCGAAACACAATCGGTTGTCCCGGTGAACAAAAAGCCAGCGAAACACGTCGCTGAAACAAAATCGTCCACTTTCCCTGACAACAATAACAACTTCAACAACCTCGTGATTAATCCAATTTACACCGACAACGTCTTTGGCTCGAACCGAATAATGTTGACAATATCGTCGTTGCCAACATTTATTACCGTTACCAAAAGTATATTTTGGTGAACCTTCACGGTTCCACCATAATTAACCCTCTTCGTTCAAAGAGGGTGCAAAATTTGAGCCCCATGTTAAACAGCCGGAGAATCCCCTTAGGTTTCTCTCTCTTTCTTTACTTTAAGCCCAGAACCTGTGGTGTCGTCGCCCAAGATAGTGGCTATCTCCCCTTGCATAAACGCCCATGGCACTTGGCTGTTCGCCAGTGGACATTTCTCTCCACTTGGACAATAAACCTGAAACAATTGAAATTAACACGGAGGGGAATTAGGTTGTTACGTAAACTGAATGGCTATGATGATCATTCTTCGTTCTAGATTTCAGGATAGGATTGATTGTTTGGTCGAACAAAAAATAGTTACCTCCGAGCCAGCACCTTGCCTCTTTATGCTCTCTCGGCTGCAAGGGAAACAGAATTTGTGATGTGGCACGCTGGGACACTGAACGAAATGTGTGTCCTCGAGACGTTCTTGACAAAGGGTGCATTTCAGTATCGGCGCTGAGACTTGTTCTGCGGCTCCGGCAACTTGCGCGACCGCTCCTTCCGAGGATGTTGTCACTGTCGTCGACGAAACGTGCCTGGAACAACTGGATCTTCTACCGGAGGATCCTGCACACAGGATCATCGAGTGTATTATATTTTGCATTATTTATACAACGACGACTAATTGATTTCTATTGAAAATAAAAGTCAAATCGTTACCTGAACTGTTCGGGCTGTGTTGTGATCCTCTAGAAGCACTACGTTGCTGAGCATTCGTGGCCGTGGTCGGTGGGCTTCTGCTGGTTGGACTCGGATTGTTCGGTGGTTGTGGCACTGATTCTGGCGACGCAAGGTTGTCGGCGACGGACATGAGCGCGGCCATTGGTGACGGACCATTCGACGAACCCTGAACGGATGAAGATACTTTCAAAAAATTTACATATACCGGTGGTACGTAAACAACGACGAATAAAATAGTTCCAATTATCGTTAAATCATGGATGTGAATGTATTTCACACTTACACGTACGAATCGTTAACGTACGAACTTCTGAATTACCTGGTGATGATTCGTCTGTGAATTGTCGTTTGTGGTTTCTTGGGCCGGTGGCGGAGGCGGCGGAGGGCTCGTTCGTGGACGAAGAGGGGACCCTCCGCCATTCGCCGCCACATTTGCTGGTGCCAATGGGATAGACGGACCGACATACGCACCTAAAATTTCATATTCTTCATGGATGACTATTTTAAAACCTTTTAACGTTATCTATTCTCTACATTCAGAAGCTGACCGACTGCCGTTTGCCAATTGTCAGGAAACTACTCAACATTGTTGGAAATAATTATCAACTCAGTAATCATGGTATTACCAACCGAAGAAAAAATGAGAATATTTCATGTTTGAGAAAATCGATTTTGAAAAATCCTTGCACACGCACATGCAACTGCTATTATATCGTTATAATATTAATGTTTAAGGCACTGATAATAGTATGCTTTAAATAATATAACAAGTGTATGCACGTTTATTTTTTGCATTATATTTTTTTTCTAAGTTTTTAAAGTAGTTGGAGATAGTTTTTAATCTACTATAGATATTAATAGGAATAAAAATAAAGAACAACAAATTTCTCTTTCTTTTTCCATAAGGAATTACTCTCTGTCCAGTTGTGCCACAATTACTGAGACACTCTGTATATACAAGAGCTGCAAGCAGAGTACTAAAAGACAGAAATAGATATTCTTTCCCCTCTTTGTATCAGTAACTAAGTCAATGAATTATGCTAAATGAGTGTATACTTTTAACATCGACGCGTTGCATAAAAATTCCTGAAAATAAACAATAGAGATCGAACGTAGATTGATCTTCGTGAATTCGTACGAGATGAACGGTGCATAGGTGTGTTACGAACATTTCTTGGTTAGGTACAGGCAATAAAGAGTAATGTTTTATAATAGAATTTTCTGATGTTCTTCGATAGATTATGAATTTACAACACGATTGTGAACTACATTTCTATCTAAATTTCTGGTCACAATAACGTGTTAAAAATTTGACGTTAAAAAGAAATTGATATTCCATGGGAGATCGCAATCAAGCAACACACGACATGCCATCACTACCGTCAGCTGTGTACAAACTGCTTTTCGCCGCTTATTTGCTTTCATGAACGCACGATCGTTGCTCATACACGACGGAATATCGAGCGTTCTGGATGTATATATATATATATACCACAGGGCGATTGCGAGGCTATGCATTTTGATATTGTTTACGAACCGCTTCTATACCGTCTCGTGTCACTTTCATCGATAAAATTATTAACACGCGACACGCATCTTACCTGTCCGTTTATCTACTCTATAGTTTCATTTATATGGTACATACGATACATGTGCTCATATATTATAAACGGAAGAAAAATGGAACGCTATACGAATAACTAAGAGACCAAGAATCAAACACCGGATTTCCAGTTTGTTGGACTGGTGCTCCTTGAGCTATCTGGGCCATGAGCACTACAGAGTTTTTCTTTTCGTCTATATCTATTACCAATGAGCTACACCGCTGTCCTCTGTTGGCGCCCACGATAATTGCACGCGTGAACGAATATCTAATAAATAGCGCTCAATAGACCGATACCAGCTCGAAGCTTGATCAATAAAAAAGAATAAATCTATTTCCTTATTTTTTTTATTTCTTTATTCATCGATACTATACTATGGCCGACTTTCGACTTTTCGATATATGTATTTATTTGCTGAATAATTACGACAAATTTATAAATACTTGGAATTTTAATAAAATAATGTTGCATCTCGTTTATTATCATATCTATTGTACTTTAATGTATAATTTAGGATTGTAATACAATTTCTTTAATCTACTACTTTAAATTGTCAATTTTCTTATATGCAAGCAACATTCAGGTATTTCAAACATCTACTTAATAATTTATCGTGAAAAAATGTTTCGTTGCCTTGCTTGAGAGTATACACGTTTTTCCTTCCGACGATCGATTCTACATTGGGAAAGGTCAATAAACAAAACACGTGTACTTTCCTATATTTACTGAATTTAACAAAACTCCTATCACAGAAGAATTTATACATATATTAATTCAATTTAGAATTTCATTTGTTTTATTTCTTTAAATTTATTTTTTAATAACATTCGTAGCCAAATTTTATGTACATAACCACAAAATAGTATACAACTTATCAAAGGTAAAAAATGAATTCGTCTAAACAAAAGTAACCTTTCATGAACGAATTATTGTTTTGAAACCAAGATAATCTTACTACTTCACTCTGCCATTCTGTGTATCACACATAATGCATCGCTACACAACGAAATTTACTCGACATCGTGCTACTTTTCGCGGTTATCATGTCTCGTTATTTTCCTCCGCATACGGTGTTTACATGGAGAATTTCCGAAGGTAATACGGAGAAACGCATTCCACCGGGACACGAGCGACAGATATAAGCACGAATCGATATTAAGAAAGAAGTATCGTTTCGTCACGTTCTACGAAGAAGACCATGACACGCGATATCGTTGTACGTTATATTCCAGTGCAACGCAGCATCCACGCGTATATCTATCCCCGCCAACGACGAGCGAGCACACACGAGTCACCGAGGTCTCTCGGCATAGAGCGTGTGGTCGTCACTACCATCAAGAAGACGTGTGACTGGTACTTTTCCGTGACGACTTTGATAGTTTCGAGGACCGTTGGCGCACGCGTCTCTCCGTTCTCAGTCTATCTATTTCTTGAATCATGTACGAAGAAACGTAACATGGATCTCTGTCATGCCACAGGAAGCGTAGGAAAACAGTGGCGACAGAGCAGCAGTGGCGACAGCAACGCGGAGGGGTTCGACGGACGAACGAATCGAAGGAAAGAAAACGCATGCGCCGTTTTGTAACAGACATCGCATCACGCACGTAGGCGGCCGGCTTAGTCACATTCTCCGCTTTGTATATCGGTCTGCTAACCGGTTGACTATAGTGGCCTTGTTTCGAAAGTATGACCCTCCCTGCACATCGTTGACGCGGTGGCGCGCGCGTTTTACGACTCACGTCTCTCTACATAGTAGTCAGAAAGTTTATTCTTAGGTTGCGTTTCATGTTAACTTGCACATAACCTTGGTGAAAATCGTTAATGAAACAAGAAAACATCGAGTTTTATTAACATGTGAATAGCTAAATATCCTCAACGTTCATAAAACTAACCTATGCAACAATGTTACATACGTTTTACGTAGAAACTCGAAAAACAACTGATCAACGACGAGAACCAGGCGAAACGATGTTCTTCTATTTTATATGAATTTGCAATGTTAAAATTAACGCTTCCATAAAGTCCTATACGGTTATATTCACACTTCCAATGATATTTCGTATACGCTCCTCCTTCCTATCGAATTAGTCACGTCTTTTGCAACACTTTGTATGTAGCACGATGCGACACAAGCTGAGAAACGGAAGAGAGGGGCGGGGAAGGGAGATGCACATGAAAGCGATACTCACTCAGTGACGTAGAACGAAACCGATGTATATATATGTCTCTACCCGTATGCGATCGATCGAGCGTAGTCGAAATCTCACGAAGCATGGAAATCATTGCGAAACGCGGAGTCAAGCTTGCTGCTGCCCTCGTTACTAACGTTCACGACCCGGCCTCTCTCGTCTGCCCATCTCCCTTTCGTATACACGCGTGTATAGTCCGTGGAAGCGATATAGCGAGGTCGTAAATTAAAGCATTAAACGACGACACCGATTGATGTAACCGCACCCAGGACGACCCATACGTCATTTATGAATTGATATTTAAAATTTCTGTGTATGACCTTTCATGAAAGGTCTCCACGTCCCTTCCTGCTCAATTGTAAAAATTAACTAATATAAATTGAGTCTCTCCCTAGTGTGACGGTCGAAAAAAAAATGTTTTTTTGCATTTTCTTACAGTTTAGCATTTCAAAGTATTATAGATGAATTCTTAAATTTGGCAAAGATGTAAACCTGTTAGCTGACAGGTGCGCAGGTAGAAGAAACAAAAGTTTTGCCAGTACATCAGTTAAAAAATGACTCGCGACGAAAGATAAAGAAAATAAAATCGAAAATTTGCATTGTTACTGAATCTTATAGTTTGCGCCTTTATATTTTCGATAATCAGTGTTGTATATGTAAATCATTCAAGTTGGTGATTTATTTAGTAGTAGGAATGTTTAACGAATGTTTCTATTCAGTACTGAAAATATTTGAAACGATGGGAATAGTCAGTGACCCAAGACACCAAGAGGATAACGCTCGCTGGGGAGGAAGCAAAGATCGTTCGGAGAAAAGCAAATGAGGCTTTCAGTAAGAGTATTGCGAAGAAGAAGGCGAAATTTACGGCCCTGATATAGCTGATTAACTATAAGCATAATAAATTGCTTCTTTTGTAGTTCTAAACAATACTTGAAACTTTAATTGCATTTTTCTCAGAACAAAATTTTTCAAAATTAGTTGCCATGATATCTTAAAAATGGATGGACCGATTTATTTGAAACTTTGGCGAAATGTTCAGTAGATATGTTATTCTCGCTCGAACTATGATTTTTCGATATATGCAGAATTCGAAATTTGCGAGTTTAAAAAAACAGCCATTTTTAATTTTTTAATAGTTATCAATTATTCTAATCTGGGCTATAGCCACGCTCATACAGATTAAGAATCTTATTTGTTGTTTTGATTCAAACAATTACAAAGGTTGATTTTATGGGAACCATAAACAAGAAATTTTTTACAACCTTCGACAGAATCGCTATTACTCTTAAATAAATCAATATTTCAACGCGAAAAAAATACTGAATATTCACTAAATGTACTTCAATAAATCTACAAAGTTTCAGATTAATTCATCTCGTAGATTTCTATTAAAAAATAAGAAAAGATCAGCTTATTTTTCGCTTGTCACAATAGAAACACCCTTTAAGGCGTAGACAATTTTTTTTAAATTTCAAATTGATATCGAACAGTTCTAAACAAGGTTCGAGTTCCCTATTTACTTCACACTGCTGTTTCGGTGCTAAAATTGCGTATATTTTGGACGTTTGACCGATTTTACGATCTCGCTATATTAATTCCACCAACTATACTATACTTGCTTCGATGGCTCTGCTTTAAACTGACCGATCGATGGAGCGAGCGAAAAAACCGATATACCAATAATATTTTTAGCTAGCATAATCAATCGATTTTAATAAGTTAAAGCATGAAAAATAAAAAAAATAACAGAAATTCCAATTTCCAATTACACTGCCCTAAGTTACGATATGGAATTCTTTGTCTGAATTATTTCCCCAACGAATGATTTACTTTTCTCTTAAAATGCACAAAATGACGAAAAAAACAAAATATCCCGAAAGAGAAATAAATAATAAATAAATGTAAGTAATAATAACGGAGAAAATATTTCGATGCAGAAAGGACAAATTGATCATAAATAAAGCGAGGTTCAATTTTTATAATATACGAAATTAAAAAAAAAGAGTATAGAGAAAAAATACAGATTTTTGCTTTTAGAAATGCTCCCCCAAAGTCCAAGTTTATTTCCAGATTCTAATCTTTGCCAGCAGTAATCTATTTTTATCGAAACATGAGTACATAAACGTTCATTCTATCTTTCCAATGGAAACGCCACCCTATTGAAGGATAAAAAAAAAAGAAAGTTAAATAGGAAAAATAACAGACAACCGAGCTAAAAGCGTACACTGTCGGTGTGGCAGAATAAGTTTTAAGTTTTCTATAAAATTACTCGGTCTCCCCCCTTACGTCGCAATTCAAAGGTGTTTACAGTTATTGTCAACAATTATCCAGATCCCCTGCTTCGCTACATAGATTTTCTGTGAATGGTTTAAAGGCAATTCGCTTATTCCCCGTTTCCTAGTGTACCGTAATGCCGGTATTCGATTCAGGTATACGCTCGGCGGTCATTTTACGTGAAACAGTTTTTAACAACCGTTAGATCTTTCCAGGATGTTCCGTTCGACTTTTCGATCGATCACTTTCAAGCTTCGTAATAGCGATCAATCACCTTGTCGACGGTTCTTTCAACGTTCAAAATAGCTATTATTTCAAGCAAAACAAAGTGTAAAAATATATATATATGTATATACAGGGTGTCTTTTTTAACTGAACACGGTGCAATATATCTCAGACGGAACTGAAGTTATCGAAACAAAAATGTTCTTGCAAATGTGTCTGGTATGATGGAAGACATAATGTGGTATAAATAGTTCTTTTCGCGGATGAAGCAGTGGGCAGAGATTTCAAGGTCAAATTTATGTTCTTTTTTTAATGGAACGCTGTAATTTTCTATTCTTAATGCTGTAGCGTTTGTTGAAGAGGATTCAACAGGGTGCCACATTAAGTCATTTCGTTTTATGGGAACTTGTAAAATCGTGGAGAATTTGTCCTTAGCAGCAACGGTAAAGTTAGGGTTTGGCTAGACCAATGGTGTACGGCCAACACGTGTTGACTTGACTCCCCAATTCGTCACTATTTTACAATTTTTTATAAAACGAAATGATTTCGTGTGGCACGTCGTTGAATTTATCTCAATAAATGTTATTATATTATGAAAGAAAATACAACGTTACATTCAAAAAACTAAACTTAACCTTGAAATATCCTTCACTACTTTATCAACAAAAAAAGTATTTATACCACATTATGTCCCCCATCAAACCAAGCAACTTTTGTAAGAACATTTCTTCAATATTTTCAGTTATTTCTGAGATACTCCACAGTGTCTAATTTAAAAAAAGACACCCTGTATATTGCACACGTATAATATACACAAGGTGTCTTTCTATTCTTGTATTATATTTCCAACAAGTATATATAATTTTCTTTCGATAAAAAATTATATCACGAGAAACATCAAGGCTTGTTTCCCTTTCGTTCGAGTAAAAATAAATCGTTCAATTACGTTAAAATATTCGTTTGGTGTTAGAGAAGTGGTTGAAAATTTCCAGGAAATTATGACGAATCGACAAGATAAATGATCATCTCGCAGTAGTACTACAATGAGCTTCGCTCGATAACCGTAAACACACATGCGTTAAGGTCGAATTAGAAAGTGGCCAGTGTCGAAATAACGGTCGATGCCCAAGGTCACCATCCGGCTTTGTACGTAGGTAGGTATACGTACGGGCAGTAACGCGAGACGAACCACGAATCGAGCATCACGTCAATCCACCTCTCGTCACTAGGTTACGTACCACGAAAAAGGAGTACGGGAAAAGAGAGGGAAAGAAAGGTGCACGTTGCAGTTACACTGACTGTCACTTAAAATCGTACACCTAGCGGTTCGGCCGATTTTTTTTCCAGTAACACATGAAAATCGGACTAAATGATCGGAGCTCGTGTAGAGGCATGCAGTTTAATGCTCCTTTGTTCTACGTGTAACAAAAATATAACAAAACTTTTAGTGATATTCAATAAGTTAAAGTTAGCTGTCAGTAAAAATCGTACACTGTTGGTAACACTGTAAAACTGGTGAATCCCCAATTTTTTTATTGTTTAAAAAAAGCGATAAAGTACAATAGAGGAGCGTGAGTTATTTATTTATTATTATAACAACAAAAATTAAAAATAAGATTGTACCATTTTTACCGACAGCTAAGTTCCATAGGTAACGACAAATTTTATTTTATTTACTGAGTACTACTAAAAATTTTGTTATATTTTTGTTACACATCAAATAAAAAAGCATTGAACTCGATCTGAGTTTCAATCATTTAGTATGATTTTCATGTTTTACTGAAAAAAAATCGGCCGAACCGCTAGATGTACGATTTTAAGTGACAGTCATTATCTTCACGATGATGCTACGAAAAACTGAGAAAATACGCAGTCTAGATATTGAATCGATTTTCGAAAGTGTTTTACCAATGTGATATCAAAGTGACAGAGAAAAAAGTGTAATTCGCGTAAAAAACTTGTTATTTTCTATTAATGTATCGATGAAAGAGATAGATAACATAGTTTTCATAGTGATCAGATGTCAAAGTACACATGTTCGAACGTCGGGGCAAACGAACTGACAAAAATGTGTGAAAAAATAAACATCCGAAAACCTAGAGCTAATCCAAGACTGTGTTTCTAGCTATATTTTTTTTTTCTATCCTTTAACTTCATTGCAGTCCTAATGATAACGCATAGAATACTGCATGTGACATGTCACCGTACGATCGAAGTCACTCGATATTTTACAATCTCGCTGAATTTCTTGTACCGAGGATGCAGGTACCAACTTAGTAGGTTTATTCCATGAAATACAAACTATCTAGATGGTCTACAGAGAGAAAATCTTACATTGCCCATGTTGAATGTTTTTTTCCCCTAGGAGACCGCCTTTCTAGTTCCTTACGATGCAGCCGCAAAATTACACTTGCAAAATATTTGAAACGTCGATGAGATTTGTATTGAGCAACAACGGACTCATTCATTGTATCTAAATATATCGAGTGACGTCATTCGGTTGGACGTCATGGCACACAGAACGGCACGGCACGGCATGGCACAGCACAACTCGGGTGTATCATTTGGTCGTCCCATCACGTGCTCAACGTACGTCTCCTTTATACGCGTTTGGACGACTGCCGTTCGTCCAGAATGAAGGGAGAACACGCACTACGAGGCCGTAAGGCAACGCACGACCGATATAGTGGGAGGAAAGAGAGAAGGGAGTTCTAACTTCCTTTTACTGTGTACGCTGGGACGATTCCCCGAAATCTAAAAGTTGTCTTTTAATGCATGCACACGCGACTTGTTTCTCGTGCCAGATGGCCGCGTGCACGACCAAACATATTCCTATTTTTATTACCGACCGATAAGAACACACGAGAAAGGCCATCTGCTGTTTAGAAAAACGAGGGAAAAAACGCGTGATGTTGTTTTAACGTATACACAAAAGATATACATAGTAAAGCTGTTAAAGGTGACTCTATAATATCAATAACACTGATACTCCGTAGATTTGGAAAGGATATCCATTAGTCTTCCTCAAATACTGTAATTCATAGCACAATATTTTTACATAGGTATTTTTTAATTCAACATTAGCATCACTATGTGAGCTGATGTAAAACACAAAACTGACTAGAAATAATAATATTCAGTCGAAATCGAGAGTTGCTAGACAAAGATGGAAACGGATCCGTAACACTCGTGGCCACATCAGCCATCTGTATGTAACTCACCATTGGCCTTGAATGTAGTGGCGGTCTCGAAACTGGGTGCTCTGACAGGATGCTTCTCCTTGCTTCTATCCTGCACATAACTAACGGCAAGGCTTACAGCTGGCAAGGAATCGCCCCTAGTTAATGGTGGTCTGACCGGATGTTGTTCCTCCAGCGAAAGCCTCTTCTCTGCGTGCTCGTCCTCGTCGATGGTGGAAATACCCCGCTTGAGTTGTGCGATGCCTCTGTTGTGGCTAAGGTTCACGTGATGCGCCACCGCGGCTAAGTGGGCGTTCGGAATACTCCTCATGTTATTACTCCTCATGCCGTTTGCGATTTCATGAGTTTCTTCATGTTGACGAGAGATCTGTTGCCTAGATGTGCCAGAGTTGAATTCAGTGATGGAATTTCGATGATGAAGCTGTGAGTAACCGGCGATATTGTGATGCCTCGAGTGATTCTGACCGGTATTCTGTATCGGTAGAACGTCCAAATTAGCACCGCCGTTATGTTCGGTGTGACCAGTCGTTCTGTATGCTTTCGACGTCGAGGATCTGGCTTCATGAAAACCGTGTGCCTTCTTCATTTGCTTGGCTGATTCTAATACTGCGTCTATCCTGTCAGCACCCTCGTAATTCACGCAACCGCGGCACACGGGCTCCGAAAATTCGGTGATCATGGCCCAGGGCATCCTGGGTAGATCGCACAAGTAACACTGCGTTCTCTTTCCCATCATTTTGCTTGACTTCTTCGTCTGTGAATACTCCTCCGATTCACCACGTACTAGTCTACCGTATCACTCACATCCACTTTAACACTAGTCTGTTATATTCCTTCAAGACACACAAAGTCGTCGGTTTTACAGCATATTCGGAGTAAGAGACTATACTAGCCTCCGCATTAACAATAACACCACGCAATATCAACTTCACTTTCGGCAAATCACTCAATATACTCGCCTCCCACCGAATATAGTTCCACGTTTCCTTTCCACTTGATCTCGCGTAGCTGCATGGATCGACGCGACGAGAAACGAAGCTCCGAGATTCTGGATTCTATTGCGCCGGGATTTTAGCAAGAACACGTATTAACAACGCCCGAAACAAGCGACTCACTGCCACGAAGGCAGAACAGAGAAAAAGAAAAGCACGTTACTTGGACGCCAGATATTTTTACTACGCTTCTCACGATAAATCGCGAGAAGTAAATTTCTTTTTATCGCAACCCGACTAACGACTGAGCGCCATTAGTAACAACGTGTATACAGATCTACGATGGCGAAACGTATAAACCACAGAGAGAAACCGTATTGAAACGTAGGTTGAACACCAAATACGAAATAATGGTATGCGCGCGATACAACGTACGCTTGCTCGCCTGGTTGCCGTACGAGGAGACGAACGGAGACGAACGCTCGAGAATGCGGCGGTAAAGCAGAGCTACGGGCTTCGCTCTCTGCCCCCTCACCGGTCCCTTCCTTTCTCCTCGCCCCGTTACCTCCTCCGGCGTCCGGGTTCGACACAACGCAACGACGACGACGCAACGACGGCTACGACGCGCTCCGCCAATCGGGCGTTGTGGCGTCATGGTACATGACGTCATAGTCACGACGCTGCGCATGCGCACGGACGCTTGCCCTAGGGGGACACGTAGTCAGCGACCGGGACTTGAGCGCGAACAGACTGATCGAACGAGGGACAAAGAGAAAAACAGCCGAGAAAAAAGATGACGATAGCACGCGCGCGCACTCACGCTCCGTACCCACTCTTTGCAACGAGAGGTCCACTTTACACTCCAGAAAATGGTATTAACGAACTACTCTTCGACTTTACTGAATATGGATAGAATCTTTTTACTTACGATTTATTGCCGATCAAGTTGACCATTATTTCGTCGGTTGAATATCCGACACTGATCGTTCGCGACTAATTCTTTTTTTTCAATTTCCATTGAATTCACTATATGAATACACTGGCTGTGTGGTGTATGTGTACATACAAAAATCGAAAAGGGCTCCACCCATTCTAATCTACATGCAACTGTTACTTTTTGTTGGCTTAATTCACAGAATATGAGTTGGAAACGATACATACCGATTTACTATCCCTTACAACTGTCTTCACCGTATACAGTTTCAAACTGTTAGCTATATATTTTTAACGCAATTAGCATTACGTTTCAGCTAACGTTACGTAATAATTAGAATTTAAGTAACGTGCTTCTTATATTGCGAAAAAGTTTATAAATACTATTAGTGTAAATTTTTTTTATTTTTATCCCACCATTTTGCAAAATTTTCTCTACAAAATTATCCCGATAGTGCTTTCCCATTTAAATGATATACAAAGAATGTAATTATATTACAATTAAATGCAATTCTATAGCATGTTTTGCAAGAAGGACTCGTCCATTTGTTTCGCGGTAATCTTAACGTCGCCAGTTTACCAATTTTTATCGGCTTTATCGTAATCGTAATTCCCTGCTGATCCACATTTCTACTTCGCTAAAAAAAGCTTATAAATTGCAATCTTGAAACTGATGCACTTGAACAAAATTGCTTAGACTGAACGATATAAGCAATGGTTACATATTCCATAAAATAAAGCTTTAAAGAATAACATGTGAAATAGATAACTTGGTTGCTTTCTACACTGTTGTTACTATAGTACACTATACGAGTAAATTAAAGAATTTTAGATTATATATATACATTGTTGGTATTTATTGATCAAATTCGCGCTGTTCTGCCACATTTTCTTAATTTGCTGTTAACAGTAGTAGTGTGTGTGTTCCACAATACATACTTTTAAGACTCGGAAACGAAAGAGAGAAAATAATCTTCGCGTTAATTGGAAGTGATGATTATAAGGGGTGGGGGCAAAAACAGAGAAAAATACGATAAGATAGTAACAGTTTATCGGAAAACGTATTAAATTATGTGATTATTGTTCCGTTCGCGATAGTATCTTTTCGTCATCTGTAATTGCGTGCGCGATGTTAAACCTCGATTCGATATCTCGTTTTAAGCAAAGCCTGATAAAAATTCACGTAATCTTTCAAAATAACGTTGCACCCTTGCAGTAATATGAAAGATTCGCAATACACGCGTCTATAAATATCGTGCACATATTTGACGTGTTATATTTGTAAACAAACACTTCGATAGATTTAAATTATCGTGAAATGTCTCTCTGTCGCATTAACATACGATAAGGAAAAATGAAAAGAAAAAAAAAACCAGGAAAATAGAATATACTTCATGAAAATATTCAAGCAGATAGAACCCATATTATATCTTTCGATTTTTCGACCGGTACTTAAAAAGCGTAAGCTTGGAATATTGATAAATTTTGGTGTGTACGCTGTACACATCTACTGAGCGCAAACGTCCAGTATCTGCACGAATGACATCACTCTGACATCATAGTACGATATCACTTCGTAACGTGGATCTTAGGCTGGTTCCACACTAACGGTTTCCAAGCGGTTCTGTTGCGCAGTTGCCACTTTTCTTTTCACCCTACTAGCAATTTTGCACAAGCCATTTGACAACGAAATTGTGTAAATTAATCAATAGAGGGAAAATAGTATAAATTCCTTCGATTCTCTTCGAAGTAGCTCAAGAGTGAGACAAAGTTTCCAGACTAAAACAAATCAACTGTAGGAAAAATGTTAATGCGACGAAGGTTCGGAGTAAATCTCTCTACTCGCGAGATTTCTAAGGAGGTAACAGTGAAATTTATCCCGGATTTAATACTCTGACGTTAACTATCAATCAGCTATGGAAGACTATTTAAAACCGACGTAGCGGCTTATATTGGTTCCGCTATCGTAAATCTTAATCAGTCCTTATCTTCTGCAGACCGTAGAAACGACAAGGCCGAATGTTGAATACACATACGCTATTCTATCTAATCGTGTAAATGTAGTAAAAAGAAAAAAGAAAAAATACCATCGAGCGCAGAATTTAGCTGATCGGAAATTTTCGTGTGATCCATTTCACGATAACATGGGCCATATGCACGGGTTCTGAACATAACGTGGTTATGCTCGCAGTAGTACATGAAACGCATCGAATGTTACCTACATATATATATCGGTTTGGGCAGAAGCAGATAATTCCAGTCACTTACAGCCTCGATGGATACAATTTTATCCATTAACTCTTCCGCATACTGTGTCAGCAAAAAATTTACATAATTACTTATCGGAGTATGCTCCCATAACAGATTCGTCGTAGGGCACACTACATATTAATGTCACGCACACTTGGGAAAAAAAGGAGGCGTGTATCGTTAGTGACAAGTAGGTGCTATTCTAGTCTATCATATTTCATAGGGGCGACTGATAGGGCGACTTCATCTATTTAGTACGGCGTGCTGCAAAATTATTTCCGCTTCGTCGAGACACACGGTAGACATGTCTGGCCTGATGACGCCTCCTTTAATGTGCTTTAATTTCTAATTTCATTATACCGCTTAATAAGGATTAAGAAATGTCGTTGAACGTTGCGTAGCATGTGATATATTATGTTAGATCGATCAATGAACTTGCATTTTATGTAATACAACAAAGTAAGTCGAGGGGGGGGGGGGGGGGGGAAAAAATTAGCTCCGTCTAGTAAAAACACTTTTACTTATCATCACCGTTTTTCTAAATCTATTCGTTATCAATATTCTCGATAATGATCTATTCTGAGCGGAAGATTTTTTCCAGAGGAACATGGTCACGTGAATGGAGCGTTATGTTTACAATTTTACAAAAGACTCGGAGTATCATTCATGGATTAACGTCGATGATGCAAGAATCGATCAATGTAAACAAGAAATCCAACGTAGAGGATTGTAATTTTTTAACCGTTACCGTTTGGTGACTTAAGTTGACAAATATCCGGACACACCTGGTACGTGTTTTAGGATTATCGTTGCCGAATTATTACATAACGGAATTTCAAGATTTCTTAACGGAGTGTATTTTGTCACGTTGTCGGTAAAGTGAAAGAATATTTTCATCTTCTTCAATCGTCTTTTTCATTGCGCGGGAAAACGTTAAAGAGTATATCGTCAAGGCGTGTTGCAGCTTTACCTACAACGTTTCCCATTGGCAATTTCCTGTGAGAAATTTTTCAATTCGCAATCAAAGAATCAGTATGGAAAAGTTTTTCTCCAAATAACTGCATAAATCTAGTATAGTAAAGCACGCAAAAGGAATTTAAAATGAGTAATAACGTTTTTGAAAATATCTTACTAAAACCGTTTGTTACAAACGTCAACGAATCTTAATTTAGAAATCGCATACAACCTAAAAATATGATCGGCTCATGAATTACAAGATTATACATACATATTTCTCGAATCAGCGCTTTTATCAAAGCGAATACAAATGAGAAACACGGAGACTGCAGTTTCTACAATTTACTAAGTGCAAACGAAATGGATAGATGCGATTCCCGATTATTTCTATCGAGTAACAAAGAAAGCGTTGTACTTTTCCAAGCGTAAGCTTGGCTTTGCCGTCGAGTTGCTTTATGTGCTCGTTCGGGAGTCGTATGTCTTGTGACGTCATCCGAGGCTATGGCAACATCGCGAAAGATCGTTCGACGTTGTCGCGCCGTTTCATGTGCAGGAAATTCAAAACTCTGTCGCTTCTATATAGATTCAAGTTTGGACTGTCTCTCAAACGATCGGCGATAGAGGAGAAAGGACAGACAGACAGACAGAGAGAGAGAGAGAGGAAAAAAACAACAAAGCTTTCTTTTTGTTAACTTTGAAATGTTCACACTTTTTATTCGTATTTTCTATTTGTTCAACCGGTTCCAAAAATGTTAAGGATTAGAGTAAACTGGCCATTTTTTTTTGTAGTGAAAAGTACCTTTCTCGTTCAATTGTAAACAACAGCATGTTGCTCAGACGGGATAATACTATTCTGTCAAGTAACAATGTACGCTAGGTAGAGAAAATCAATCCGGCGCTTCTGTACTAACCTTTTGCCTGAACAGCATCGTACTCGCTACTACCCGCCTCAAAAACACTGTGTTCTTCAAGGGTCCGTTGCGATATTGACCCGAGGTTGCGTTAGGTTATTTCCGTGGGGGATCATGTACCTTTACAGGTGAATCTCTCTCTCTCTTTCCTAACACGCGCGCGCACGCACATGTTTTATGTACCATCGCATTTTGTGATACGATATTATTTCGTAAATTGACCTTCGACCGTGTCCTTGACCTCATAGAGATAGTTGAAACGGTTAAATGTCGTACTTGATATTGTATATGCTGTTTGTTCGCTCTCGCTACTTCAACTTTACAGTATTTTCATCATGAAATC